GCGCACACGCCGCCCTGACCCCGGCTCCCTGGTGCCTGTGTATGCAAATTAACCCGCCATCTTTGTCGGGTTAATTTGCATACCCACTTCTCATTGGCTGGTGGCTGGTGGGCATCACAGAGTAACAGTTAATTTGCATGTTTCTCTTTTTTATAGAGTGATTATGGTAGAATCAAATAGTTATCTACAATGATTAGTGATCCTTCTCTAGTGCATGGAATTTAACATTTTAGAATTTTAGCTTAGCTCTCACATGCCTGTTTCATCATCAAAATAATATTTTTTAGCCAATTCAAATATATAAATTATAAAACCTAGTAATATCTAGGCCCAAGATAAAAAAAAGTAGAATTTAAGAACTATGGAACAACATAGTGATTTTATGTTCAGAAATCCTTTAATTTTTTTTTTAAGATTGAGGTTATTTGTATCTGGAGGGCATCCATGATCTGTTCAAGGTTACCCAGCTAATTAGTGGCAAAACTGGAATTAAAACTTGCCTTCCAATTCAGTTTTTGTGTTTTTCCTTTCTGAGTCATTAAGCTGGTCCTATAACATTGCATGCAACTGTTATTTGAGGACTTCATTTAACTAAATGCACATAAAGAACAAAATATCTTTTGTGAGAGTATCTTACAATTGGCCATGGGTGGTGACATCTTTCTGGAAAATATAGCGATAGAACTTCCAGTCTCCCGGTTGAACTCCCGCAAGGACACCTTGCCTATTAGCCTTTTATATATATAAATAAATCTAAGTAAACATGCCAGCTGGTAAATATCAATTGAGAGCAGAAAGGAAATGTAACAGGTGACTATTAGAATAGCTCACATTGGCAAGTGTCTGTTTGTTGTCAGACAATTTCATTTCTCTTGTCACAGCCTCCAGACTTGGAAGGTAAAGGGCTTTCTACTTTAAAAGTGTTGTTTGCATTTGTATTTCTTTCCTAGTCTGATTTTATTTCAAGAAAAGTAGAGGGAACTAATTTGATATTTCTACATATTATGTTCCTGAATGATTTCCTGACATAGGCAAAACATGCATTGTTTTCAATTACATTAAGTTTTTTTTAATAAAAATAATATATTCAAAGTGAACAAGTTAGGCAAAATAATTTTTTGAGAAATGGTAATATATTGTCTTTGTAATATGTGAATTTAAATGGCATTGAATGGATTCTTACTTACTGATATTTCCATTAGCTAATCATAAGCTAGGAAGCTGTTTAAAATTTATGTTTAAGAAAAATATTCTGGCAAATAGCAGTTACTTTCTTTTGTACCAACCCTCATGGGTTGGTATTTATTTTCATGGAGTAGACAAGCTATAGATCAGGTTTCAAAAAAACATACAATTATGATAATTATACTCCCTGAGTGTTATTTCTTATGAATATATTTGGTAAAACAACTGATTTTTAGATAACGATAAGGATGAGTAAAAGGTAAAATTAAAGTAAATATTAATATATTGCTTTTTCCATTCTCTGTTGACATGCATTTGTACTATATTTGAATTATCACTGAAAACTTTACATCACTCACTTGTATTTGCAGTAACATATGCACACACAAAACATAGTTCACATTGCTAGCTCGGGTTTATATTTGCAAATTACATGGCTGTTCAAGAAAAATTACTATGTGAAAATTATATATAATGTATTCATTGTAACCAAGAGTGCACAGATTTAAATGCTGAACAATCTAAAACATTGAAAGTTTTCCATACTCCTTTTATTAGCATGAATTGAAGATAATTATGAATTATAAACTATAAAATTCCATAGGACATTATCATATGAAAGTAGATGGTGAAATTAATTTTATTATAAGTAAATCTCAATTGGAAGGGATAATGAAGCTATAAATAAATTGACTATACAATTAGAAATTATTTATCCTTTTGTTTCTAAATTAATTTTTAATTTTTCCCATTTTACTTGTTACCTATGATTTTTATAATATTTTGGACTATGTATTTTTATTCTGTGATGAATTTCCTTTATTTACATACACTGCTTGTTCAAAGATATCTTTGGAGTAGTCTCTCAAGCATATAGTTAACATTGTTTTAAGATTATGGGACAGCTCAAGCTAGTTACCATCCCAGCTTCATAGCTAAGTTTATTTCCTTTTGCTTTCATAGTGGTTAGTTGCATGCCTATCACACGTCCATTCTGGTACTAGATTCTCCATTGTGTGGTTTAAACCTAAATTTGCCAGTCCTTGTTTTCATTGATTCTCTCAAATCTTGGCTCAACCCTAAATCTTTTGAGTTAGAACTGGATTTTCACAATATCCTGAGGTGATTTATATATCCCTGAAGGTTTTGGTAGCCTGCTTTCTGAAAATGGTCCTACTGCATTTAAATGAATCCCTTAAGTGCCTGGTGAGTGCCAAGCAAAGGCTTAGATTCCTAATTAATGTGTTACCTCCTGTAGTCCTCACTACATCTTTAGGTAGTATCATCCTACTTCTTGAGACATAAGCATTTTTTTTTAAAAAGACTTTATTATGGAAAATATAAGGTACACAGTTGTAGAAATAAAACTATAACAAATCCTCCATGGTACCTTTGCTCAACTTCAACAGTGCATGGGAAATATGTTTCATGATTATAATGAAACAAGTATCAGTCATCACATCATTTTATTCACAAATAAATCAAGAATTGTCTATATAACAACAACAATAAGAATTTCCCTGTAATCATGATACCATTACTACTAAAAATATTATAATTTTTTTTCTTAACAGCATCAAACATCCAGGCATTGCTCATATTTTCCTGATTGCCTCATGATTGTATGCGTCATTGTTGTTTTGTCATTTTATTTTAAATTTCTTTGTTTGAATTATAGGGGAGGAAAAATAATTTTTCTTCTACCCTTCCGAGTTCTTGGCTGTTGACTCCTATCCCATAATAATAAAAATAACAGGAGAAAAATAAACAGAAGTTTATTAAGATGTATACTTCATGTATACCTGGGAGATACCCAGGAATACTGAGTGACTTCCCAAGGTAACTTAGAATTCAAGCTTAAATACCATCTTATTAGGGAAAGTGGAGAGGGGATGTCGGCCACTTAGAAGAGTAAATTATTTTTAGGTAACATGAATAGGACTTTAGAATAATAGATGGGAGATATGATAGTTTGTGCAAAGTTTGTCCAGGTGCAGTGTCAACTTCTAGTCTCTTCTCCTGTGAAAAGAGTGAATCTTCTTTGGATTTATGACAATTGAGTTCCTTTTGGAGGATCTGTCTCTAGGCAGATAAAGGGAGTTCAGAGAAAGCTTTTCCCGGCATTAGCCGTTTTTCATGTGCCTCCAGCTCAAAATAATCAATATACCAAAGTGGTGTATTTTGGGTTGGCATGTCATGAGCTCCTACAATCATGTTTTGAAGTTACTTCAGAATCAAGATCTAAATAATAGTCATCCATTGTGATTGTATGATATGTCTTTTGAGATTCCCTCTCTCCTCTTCCTTTTCAGTTAATCTCTAGGTTCCTAAAATGAATAAATATTCTTCATCCCATTTTACAGAGGAAGAAACCAGAACTCAGAGCTTTTAGCAAACTTGTCTCAGGCTCAGTAGCTAATAAATGACAGTGCCAGGAATAAAACTAGGCTTGTCCACCTCTATTAATCTTTATATGATGTTGATGCCTTTGCATTGACCCCACTTTTATGTTCACTCTCTCTGTGTAGACTTTGTATTTTTCCCCTAATTACTTATTTATTCTAAAAGATCTTCAGACCTTCAGTGCTCATTTTGAAAACATGTACTTTTTAAAAATTAAATGTATTTGGGTGACATTGGTTAATAAGATCATACAGGTTTTAAGTGTACAATTCTATAATACACCATCTGTATATTGCATTGTGTGCTCACCATCCAGTCTGTCCTCCTTCTGTCACCTCATATTTCACTTACTTTATCCTCCCCCCAACTCCCTTCCCCTCTGGTAACCACCATATTGTTATCTCTATCTATGAGTTTTTTGTTTTCTTTGTTCATTTGTTGCTTTCTGTTTTATATCCCACATATGAGTGAAATCATATGGTTCTTGTCCTTTTTTATCTAACTTATTTTGCTTAGTGTGATACTCTTAAGGTCCATCAATGTTGTCACAAATGGCAGTATTTCATTCTCTCTTATGGCTGAACAGTATTTCATTGTATACTACTCTGTTTTCTTTATATTCCACATTTCCTTTATCCAATCATCCATCAAAGGACAGTTAGAAAACTTGTACTTTAAAATATAGACTCTTGGGGACTCACATACCCTGCAAAAATGATGTTACACATCTCCAACAATAAATTACACAATTAAGGGAAAAAAACCTCTTTCTTGCTTGATTGTCTGTTTGTTTTAAGTCTGCAGTAGATATTTGTGGCTATAAAGATCAACTGCTGCCAATTTCATTCTGGGATATTCTTAAGCCACCTCCATGGTCTGTTACATGCAGAGTTTCTCCTATACCAGTGATGGCGAACCTTTTGAGCTCGGCGTGTCAGCATTTTGAAAAACCCTAACTTAACTCTGGTGCCGTGTCACATATAGAAATTTTTTGATATTTGCAACCATAGTAAAACAAAGACTTATATTTTTGATATTTATTTTATATATTTAAATGCCATTTAACAAAGAAAAATCAACCAAAAAAATGAGTTCGCGTGTCACCTCTGACATGCATGTCATAGGTTCACCATCACTGTCCTATACTATGGAGGGCTATATTTAAGCCTTAACTTTCTCCACAAATTTAGGGCATATATTGCTTAAAAATGCACAATGCAGTGATGATTTTACAGTATGCACTTCTTCTCACAGAAGAAAGATTTATCCTACGTTTTTTCTGAGCTTTCAGAATTTAATATTATTGTGTTTGTGTTTTAGATTGGAGAATTAGTATACATTGTGGAAGGAAAAGGTATGGCCCCCTTGCCTTCCAAACTACCTGCAATGACTTCCTCAAATTTATATGACTACACATGTTCTCCAGAAGGTAGAGTATACATATGCATTATCTATATATATAAAAAGCCAGCAACTGGAACACCATAACAACGGGAATGACCGGTCGCTATGATGCCCACTGCAGCCAGAAAACCGGCCCAATCGAGGGTGGGGTGGCCGGCCAACCCCCCTGTGGCCC